AAAAAACTTGAGTTGGAATCAGGGGTCCCTTCTAATGACATTATCTGATGATGAGTGTCATTCACAAAGTACCATGGTCTGCAGACCTAGAGTTGTCTTCATTAAGCACTGATCACAGAATAGCTTTCTAAGCAAGGTGTCATTTGTTACATGGCATCTAGGAAGAAAAAGGGGCTACTCTTCTGCATAGCGACCATTTTTCTACAGCAGGGCAAATCATAGTCAGGACTCCCCTTTTCATTCTTAGTGCTATGCTGGCTTATAATTTTTAAGCACTGGGAACACACTGTACTTATAAGTTAGGATTATTATATGTAAACCAATTAAAACTGCATTTACTTGAATAGATCTATAGGTTTGCTTGATTTTATTTTCAAATATTATTTTCCAGTGACCTTTCTGAAAGTTTGGGATATTTGGAAGGAACTCTGAGAAGTTAAATACACATCCATAAACTCAAACCAGCTGTAGCTCCTACCTCTGTTTAAAAATGAGATAAGATCATTAAAGGAAGTCAAGGTCACAAAAGATGTCTTATGGAGGTACTAGAGCATCCTGACCACCTGAGGAAGATAAGTTGCAGCTAAAAGGATATCTCTTTCACCAACAGGAAAGGCAATCATATATAATAGTATGAAAGCTTCTACATGAATTATTTTATTTGCTTTTCAAGACACTACCTTGTGATAAGTCCAAAGGTGGTATTATTCACAAGTTCAAGTACAGTAAACAGACACATAGATGGGAAACTCAGAAAGTTTGGAGCATGCCTTCTGACTTAGGAGCCACTGGTCTTTCCATTACACTCCTATTATACCTCGTCCTACTGTTCCAAGGTGGCAGCCATACTAACACACAATCCTAAAACATGTTGGAGTGGAATCCTTCCTACTCTTCCTCTTGGGTAAGTTGTGAGAATTAAACCAAGTCAACATGTGAAAAATACTTAGAATAGTGTCTGCCAGTTGTGTCCCTATATTTGTGTGTACTAAAATAGATATGTACATTTGTACTATATATGTAAATATATGTCCATATGTATATATACATATATATATACATACACACACATATGGACATATGCCCTGTGTGCAAACATGCATACATACATATTCCAATGCATGCACAGGCACACACACACACACACACACACACACACACACACATGACTTGAAAAGGGGTAAGGAAATAATGATTACCGTGACCAGGTTAGCTAATCAAGTAGGACTCTTTACTATACCTCTAACCTTAGAGATTAAAAAAGAGACAAAAATGTTTAAGAACTTTTGTTTCAGTTTCTCGTGTACTACTTTTGAAGAACAGACATGTATCTGAAAAATTGTCTCGATTTAGAGTAAGGAAAGCAAAGATTGCCTTGGCAATATGATCTGTGAAGCAGAGGCAGAGAGCATCCCTTCTCCCTGACCAGGCAGACTACATTGCCAGGAGGCATTCCTGCCCACCAGCAGGACATATGTTTCTGCCTCAACATGCTAGGCCTCATGCATTTGGAAGAGGAAAAGGAGGTATCCCAGCTTCTCACTTCGCTCCCAGTTCCGCTTCTGAGCAGGCTAAATCTTCTGCATCTCTTGGAGGTATTTTTGCATCTCTAGGGGAAGAGGACATTTCCAAGGAAGGTCAAAGTGCATCAGTTCAAAAGCCAGACCGGGTACTGCCTGTCCTCTGAGGAACTGTTCAAGTGGTGTGTGTGTGGGGGGGGGGGAGGGGGATGGCACTTGGCCCCCTCTTTGAATCGTGGGCGGGGTGCGGGGAAGTCCTCAACACCCAGTAACTGACAGTGCAGTTTCCTGCTGGGCAGGTTTGAATATCCTAGGAGTAGCCTGGATGGCTGAGAATCACCAAGGGGCAAGGTGGGGGTGCGGGTCCTCACAAAACTCCAGAAAGGATCTCAAATCTCCAGACGTCCTTAAAAATAGAGAAGAGCATGGGGTGCAGAAGGATTCAGGGAAGAGAAACCGGGAGACACCACCGAAAGAGCCAAACTGATTTCAGAACGTGGGTTTGGCCAAGGGGAGAATACAGAAAGAAAACCTAAAACCTCGAGGCGAATTCCTCGCTCGCCCCGCGTGCCCGCGCTCCGTCTGTCAGCGGTGGCTCGCTTACCAGCCTGGCCGCGCCCGGGCCCGAGGCCGCGCCTGGAAGGGGCGTCTTCGCCTCGCCCCGCCGCGCACTCGCCCGGGGCCCTGCAGACGCGCGGACTCCTGCCCCGGAGCCGCAGCACCGTCCTTCTGGGGAGCGGAGCCTGGGGCTAGTGGGTGGAGAAAGAAACGGGAGACCTCCGACCCGAGAGGCCAGCCCTCGGAATCCATCCGGGGTGGGGAGGGGGCGCACTTCCTGGCAAGTTTACTGGATTTGACTGGTCCCGGATTTCCAAGGTTTCCCCGCTCGGGGTCACACGCATTGGTCACGCTCATGAGGAGCTACGCTGCGTGGAGGGGAAACCTAGTAGAAGACTCGAAGGGTGGCGCACCGGATGGATGGGGAAGTGCGAACCCCGGCCGGACACCTGTCACCACCCCCACCCTACCCTGCCCTCCTTGACGTCCGATGGCGGCCGAACATCTGTGCTTGCAACTAGCCCGCGCGCGGCTGCAACCGCAACAGTTGCGACTCTGGGCCTCGGGACCGTAGGAACTTTGGCCGGGCGGGTCCGGTTTCGGTCTGGGCTCTCCGGCGCCTGAGAACTGTGCCGAGATGTGCGGGCGTCCTCTGGTTCCCGCACGCCCGGGGGCGCGCTATATCCTGCAAGCACATCGTGGGAAATACAGGCGCCCCACAACACTCAGCGCCAAATGAGGCGGATTCCGAATCCGCTCCAGAGCACGCTCAGAGCTGGCCGGCGCGCGGCGCCGCATCAATCCAGGCATCCCGCTCCTGACCAGGACACCACCGCTGCGGGTGCCACGGCCGGTGGGGGTTCCCCTTCCTCGCTCTTTAGGACCTGCGGTCTCCGCACCGGGAGCTCACGCCACCTGCCTGGACTTCAAAGCGCCTGCTAGCTCCAAGTCTGCATGACCCCGTGACCTTGTTCCTTCTGCAGCTGTGTGCAGACATGTATGCCCATGGCCTCAGCCAGCGACCTGAGTTAACTCGGCAGACAGGTGGGGTTATGGAAGTTACAAACTCTCATCTGAGAAAATTCAGACACCGAGAGAGTTAAGATAGATCTGAAAGCTGGAAAATGTAGGATTAAAATGAAACATGTCTCTGTTTGCCTTGGCTGAGGGCAAAACTCCCTCTGGGCACCCTTCCCTTACTACTTCCCGCCAAAAAGGTCTTGTGGGCAGACTGATCAGTAGAGCTGCCCAGCTCTAAAGTGTCTGACATGAACACACCTACCTGGATCGCGTTGGCAGTGGCTCAGCCAAGGCTGGGCTTTCTCCCTGAATGTATGATTAAGTTAATGACCGTACAAAAGAAAACACCGGGGAAGCTCAGGGAATGCCTCCATGTATCCTTCAAAAAATATGATTCCTGACTAGGAGGAAGCCGGTTTCCAAGCAGCATTTGCTTGCCTTTTTTAAACCTAAGTTCATGTCTGAATCCCCAACAAGTCATAAAACCTTCATAGTGAAAAAGATTCTGGAAGGATAGGGCACAAGGAAAGGACATTCAAGTTTTTTGTTTTTTTAAAAAAGTTAGGCCCCAAGCAGCCTGGGGTGTGTTTGTTTTTAAAGAAAATTTTTTTTCTGAGATCCATTAGTGCCCCATGGTCATACTAGTCCTGAATAGCAGTTGGAACTGGCATTTTGGGCTGTTCTTCTCATCACACTTTGCTGGGGGTTAGTGTTTCAGATCATCCAACTGTTTGCCTAGCAAAACAGAGAGCAGGCCTCAACAACTTGTAGTACAGAAGGCACTTGGATGATCTTAAGGAAGTCAATCATCTTTTCACCAATCTGAGTCACATTACATCCCTTTGCCCTACACAGACTTTACCTGCCCCCTGCCCTAATCATTACTTAACACAATAAAGCCTTTAACATCCTTTTAGGGGAAAAGCTTTGAATGTCTACAGTGAGATCATGTGCTAGTTTCCCATTTCAGGCCTTTTCATAAGTGCCCTCCCGACAGGGGAGGGTTGGCAAGATGTGAAGGAAGGGGGGGGGGTGGTGGAAAAGAACACCTCTGATAGATAAATCAGTGTCATGTCTGTAACTAACACATGCATAGAGGGACTCTCAAGATGCCCATGGATTAAGTTCATGCCATCCTAAGACCTAAAGGATCATCATCCATTTGGCTTTGCATCCAATGGTTGCTGGATATACCACACACTCTCACATACACGCTATTTAACTAAGATTTGCTGTCAGTATATGAAGATTATAGAGGGACTTTTCATAAGAGGAAAGGCAGGGAGAGGGAGGAAAGTTATGATAATGCTCCAGAACTAGTTTTGTTTTCTTGTTTTTTGTTTTTCCAGAAGCTGCTCAAGCCTTTAGAAGGAAAGCTGGGCCCTGCAGTACAGGCAACTTTGGTCCTTTCGCCTTGGTTTCTGAAGAAACTCTCCATAGGGTCTCTTAATGGGTTGTGACAGAATGCTAACGGGTTCCAGAGGACAAGATACTCTTCCATATAGGCATCACCAATAGAACCTTAATTGGGCCTTTCATCTGATTTCCCTGATCCAGGCCTGAAAATTATCTCTGGTCCCTTGTAAAGATGCTAATTATCCTGCTGCTGAAAAGAATGCTGACATCCTAATGACAAGTTAGCTTCGTGACAGGCATCTTTGTTTAAATGCTTTGTCCTTTGATCCAGCTAAAGATTTTCCAAATAATAATCAAACCTTGTCTTTTCTCTTTTAGGCTTTTGGAGTAAATAAATGCAAGTGAGGCAGCGTTTAGCATCCCTCTGCTGCTAGCTCTTCTTTTCAGGGACTCAGTGAAAATAGATGGTATCTACTCAAAGTGTAGCTCTTGGCTACAAAAAAACAAAACAAAAACAAAACATATTTTAAAACACTTTCCAAATAATTGCTCTGAAGAAAATAGTCATTTATTGTCAAAGCATCCAACATACCCGGATAATCTATAAAGTTTAATAAATCTTTCCAGGGATAAAAGGAACACATAACTATTCAGACTCCATTTCACTGGCACAAAAGTTACACTTTGTATTAAAAGGAAATACATATTTACATAATGATGACATTCTTCATTGAAGTCCATAATCATTTCATGATACATGCGCTTCCCCCTGAAAACGGAAATGGAATGGTGACCCCCTTTTTATAAGAACACAAACTGTCATCAGTAAATGCAGAAAGCATCTCACCCTCCTCCTTTACTTTATATCTAAAATAAATTTTGCCCTTACATATAATTATTACATCTAAACTGTAAGTGCTTAATAATTTAAGTAGAAACGTATGACAAATGCATCAATATGTTGCAATATATGACATTTTTAAAAATGTATCTTTGTTTTGGGGAAAGTGAAAATGCGTGCATTTAAAAGAAAACCCCTCAAACAACCCACCCATCAAAAATCCACCATCCTGTCTCGTGTGTGTGTGTGTGTGTGTGTGTGTGTGTGTGTGTGTGTGTGTGTGTAGTGTAGGTCGAAGGTAAACATTTGAATGAGATGACTGGAGGAGCATGTGTGTGGGGGGGGGGGTGAGAGAGAGAGAGAGAGAGAGAGAGAGAGAGAGAGAAAGTGAGTGTGAGACTGTCGCCCTGGGTGCAGTGTTTCAGGTCACAAGGAGGTGGTGGATGCCCTCGCGTGCTTGCTCCTACAGGTGGCTTGACTGTGCGTGTACGCGCCGCGTGGAAAGCTGGGGTCCCGTCCAGGTCAGTTATGGGAGGTCATGTGCCTGGAGAGGTGGTGGCGCTCCCTGAAGGACTCGTTGCAAATGGGGCACTTGAGTTTCTCCTCCCGCCTTCGCTTCACAAGGGGCTCCATGGCGTACTCCTTTTTGTGATGCGACCTCATGTGGTACACCAGGTCGGAGGTCATGCGGAAGGAGGCATTGCACTTGGCGCACCAGTTCTGCGCGGGCAGGCACAGCGACGTGAAGGACGGCGGCAGCAGCGTGAGCGCCGAGGGCAGCTGCAGCTGCAGGGGCCCCGCCGCGGCCGCGGCCGCCGAGCTCTTGGGCCAGAAGGCGGTGGCGTAGAGGAAGGGGCTCTGCTTGGGGAGGCCGCCGCCGGGCAGGGCCGCGCAGCCGGCGTTCAGGTCGGCGGCTCCCTGCAGCTTCACGGCCAAGGGGTCGGCGGCGGCGGGGTAGAGTCTGGCGGGGCCCACCCCGTCGCCGGGGTGGCACGGCTCCAGCGCGCTCAGCTTCTGGCCCAGCACCAGCGGCGGCAGCTGCGAGAAGGAGCGCGCCGGCTGCGAGAAGGCACTTTTGCGCTCGTCCGCCGCCGCGCCCGGGCCGCCGCCCGCCCCGCCCGCCCCGCCCGCGCCCGCGCCGCCGCCGCCGCCCCCCAGCTGCGGCACCGACGTGAAGGCGCTGCCCCGCGCCGGGCTGCCGCCCTCCAGCCGGCCGGGCAGCGGGCCCCCGGGCCGCGGGACCAGCAGCTTCTCCGCACCGGCCGGCGAGGCGGCCACGGGCGTGGAGGAGCCGCCGCCGCCGCCGCCCGCATCCTGGTCGTCGGCGGCTGGAGCCCCGCCGTCGGCGGCGGCCTCCTCCTGCAGGCCGGCCGCGCGGGCCGCCTTCTTCACCTCCACGAAGGCGCTGCGCTTCGCCTCGCCCGTCTCGGGGCTGGGCGGCGCGAAGGGGCGCCCGCTGTCCTCCAGGCCGAAGTAGCTGCCCGCGGCGCGGTACTGCTGCGGCGTGCACACCAGGTCCTCCTGCGAGGCGGGCAGGGGCCGCTCGGCGAGGCGGCCGCGGCCCCCCACCAGCCCCGCGCCGCCGCCCTCGGCCGCCTCCTCGGGGAACTTCCTCTTCCCTTTGCCGCCGCTCGCGGCGCTGCCGTCGGGACTCAGCTCCGCCTCCTGGTGGCCGCCGCCGCCGCTGCCGCTGCTCAGGCTCCGCACCGGGGAGCAGCTGCCGCCTCCGCCGGAGTTCTCCAGCTCCCGGGCCAGGTTGTGAAAGTCCGTGGACGGCTTGGTGCCGCCGCCGCCGCCGCCGCCGGTCGCCGGAGGGTTGCTGCCCTCGGGGGAGGGGGCCGGGTAGTGGTGGAGAGGGCCGGCTTTGCAGAACTTGGGGCCTGGGCCCAAGGGCGCCTCCGGCGGCTGCCGCTGCTGGTCCTTGCCGCCGCCGCCCCCGTGGTCCTTGGTGCCCACGCCGCCGCCTTGCTCGTCCGGGGGGCTCCTCTCCGCGCTGTGAATTCTCTTGGGGCAGCGGAAGCGCAGGTGCGCCACAAAGGGAAATTCAAACTGGAAACGTTGGCTGCAGTCCAGGCATGTGTAAGGGGACGACCCTGCTTAGAGAGCAAACGCCACACACACACACACGCACACACGCACACACACACACACACACACGCACGCACGCACACCAAGTGATTACTCAGCATCGTCTCCAGTTTATCATCACCCCCTTCACAAGTCCACCTTCCTTTCTCAGGGCCTGGGTGCCTGAAATGAGAAGATCCTTTGCGACTGATCTAACCTTCCCTCCCGATTGGGGGGAGTGCAGTAATTAAGCCAAGTGTCCACTCTCCTACCCCCACGACTTTTCCTCACCTGCCTGCCCAGCTTCATTACGTACTAATCTCGGAAGCTTCCTTAGAGACGCCCAAAAGGAGGAGAGGCACGCACAGGCGCCGGAGTGAGCCCCGCCGCTCCCTGCTTCGCTCCGCGGTTAGCTAAGGGCCCCCACACAGGTCTGGAGCCAACCTACCATTCATTTTGCTGTGGGGTCTAGAGGGGCAGAGCAAGAGTAACTCAGTCAGTTCTTTGCCGTACCAAACTAGCAACTCCTCGTCTTTGGCAATCCTGCGGAGAGAGCGGTAGAACAGCTGTCCGTTTTTTATATAGGCTTCCAGGTTCTGCTCCTCTTTCTCTCTGGCTGACTGCACCAGACGCAGCCACATGAGACCTTCCGAGGAACCATTTGCAGCTGAGGTGTCCACCTACAATTGAGAAAAAAAGAAAGAATACAAGAAGGAAGGGGTTTGGGGAGGGAGACTCTTGTGAGAGAGTGAAGCCAGAGGAACCAGGGCCATTTCCTGCATGTCATTCTTTTCCAAAGAATTATCTGAGATCAGGATTCCAAAAACTTGACCCAGGTTGGCACCCACCCTCATGCGTGTATCCAGCAGGCAAGAGAGTCATCCTTTGAAAGTCTGCGTGGATCATAGATTATTTCAGTAGTCTTTTTCACATATTGCTTGAATGTCAAATGAGGAATTTTCCTTCCAATTCAAATTAGTGTTAACCTCTTGAGAATTTACTTCTAAATTATCCCATATTACAAAAATGTGGGGGAATTTGGTTCGTTTTGGAAATAAAAAGGTTAGATCTCAGACATTATTGTGTGGCTTCACTCATCTTCCTAATTTTAACTTAAACAATAGTTTTTACTTGTAGAGAAAGGATAGGAAGTAAGAGGGTTTTTATCTCTAAACTTAAACATATGGATTAAATGTAATTTTATTGTCAAACCATATGTGCAGGAGGCAGCCAATCAATGTGTTTCTCTCACATCGATGTTTCACTCTGTCTTTCCCTCTCTCTTCCACTCTCTCTAAAATCAATGGAAACATATCCTCGGGTGAGGATTTAAAAAAATACTTCTTGAACATTTTTATGTAAATCCCAACTCCGGGCACTAGATATCTTTTCCAGAAGGGGTAATATTATTTAGGGGAACAGAAGGCCTGCTACGTTGGAAGGCAATCATGCCTAATACTTAGGATAAAAATACTTACAGAAAGTACTTATTATGCAAATAGCCTCAATCTTCTGAAAATGCCCAGAGTTAAGGTAATCACTAGGAAAGCCCAGAATTAAGGCACTGCTTTAGACATACCTGGTATTTCAAATCACATTTTATCATTTGTTCTCAGAAAATCAGTTGACAATAACTAGAGTTTAAGTTTCTTTTTCAATTTTTGGCGAGCATTGGCCAAGACTTACCCGGAAGATATAAGGAACTGTTCTTTTGTCGGTGGACTTGAGAGCTATGAAAGCTATGCTGTCGTACAGGGAGGTATGGCTCAGGACGCAGGGCCCGAATATGGCATTCTCAGGAATGTCGCAGGTGGTGTACACGCTGGTGAAAATGTCTGTCAGACACTGTTGGACGGCCTTGGCATCTCCATCCCAGATGCCTCGCTGGATGCCTGAATCCTCCATCCCTGGAGACAAACACACAGGACACCAAACGGAGTTACATTTTTCCTTTTGCCTTTATGAATCCAGACAGAGCGTTTTAACTACTCGACAGATTTTTCTTGAATTTTGTCTAGCTCTTATTTTAGAAATAAAGCCAATAGCAGATTCACCCTGCATAGTGTGAAGATGCCAACTCAGGAATACTTTCCTTTTAAGAAGATCCTGGAATAGTGGGAGCTCAGGGTAGACTGGAGAGAGAGAGAGAGAGAGAGAGAGAGAGAGAGAGAGAGAGAGAGAGAGAGAGGGAGAGAGAGATTTTTTTTTCAGTAACTCGGGGGTGGATGGGGCAGGATTTGGGAAGGGTGACGGTGGGGGAGAACAATCGTATTTTTTATAGACTTTCTTGACTGAAAGAAACTTCTAACGCTTGGGAGAAAGCTCCTCTCCCTTCCTCCCGGGCTGATTTTATTTCATTTTCTTCCAAAGAGGGGAGCAGCATTAGCGAACAGGTGGAGACAGCCGAGCATGGCGAATGGATTTCAAGTAGAGTGTCAGGGCCACTGATTCCGAGTCAGCTAACCTTTCTCTGCAGCCTCCGAGAGGGGCGAGCGGGGACGTATGTCGGCTCATTACCATAATCCAACACTGTCCCTCCGAGGCTTTAATCAAAAGCAGCAAGCAGAGGTAATTATTTTCTTCTCGACATGCTTATTTATGAAGGAGGGTGAATCCCAGTTACCTTGCCATACAAGGGGTGGATTGAGACGCGTGTGCCTCGTGAAGGGAGAAGGTACAGGGCAGGCCAGAAGTGTCCCCCGTTTGAGATACCGCGTGGGTAATGACTGGTGAGTTCTCCATCCCCCAGATCGGGCCCTGTCTGGGCGAGAGGGGGCAGCCCCGCTAGGGAAGCTGTGGGTGGACTCTCCAGCTGTTCCATCCGCAGCGATTGAGAGAGTAATGCCCGGATGGAGGGCTCTCTATTAAGCTGTCATTTGACATTTTTCTCCCTTGCCACTGGACAGTGCCTACAAGGTGTATCATTTAAAAAACATAACTAGAGCTGGTATTTAAAATTTAAGCTAGCTTTGAACTAACTGCTTTGTTCACTCTTTCTGATTGATTCAAAGACCCCCCCCCCCCACGTTGGGTTTTCCCTCCTAATGCCAACATAGGCAGTCATTGATGTATGTTTTGTGTAATTTAAGTAGCGGGAAAGTGTAGACGTAATTCTTTTCCTGAGAAGCTGTTCATTACGGATATTAGTGATGTCCATTTTTATCTTAATGTCTATTAACCAATTAATCTTGCAAATGTGATTACAAGGTAGGTAGTGCTTTTTTTTTTTCTTCCCAGTTAACAGAGCGTGAAACTTTGGTCAGCCTTTTTTTTTTTTCATTCACGCTGCTGCAGCCCCCAAATGTCAAGTATTGGGCTGTATCTGCCAGACAGAAATAAGAGAAATAACCCTAAAGGAGAAACTTACTTTCTGCTACAGCGTCTATCTCTGGGCATTTTTACCCCACACAGAGTAGTCTTTCTAACCTCCGATTGAAAATCTAAATATTTATGTTTAAAAATCCTCCAGAACCTCTCATCTCCTTTTCAACGAAATCCTGTTCTCTCCTTTTCAATTTTCCTAATTCAGCGTTTTATGCCCCAATTTCTCCTTTTAAAAGTCTCTTTCACACAAGCGTTTCATTGTGCCTGGAGGTCGCCCCGTCACGTCGGGCAACAGCAGGGGCACGATCATTAACATGCAGTTCCACCGAACAATACGGAGAAAAGATCCTCGCTGCGCCGCGCTGACGGGGGGCCGCGCCGCCGCCCGGAGCTCCCAGCCGGCCACAATACGCGCTGGCCGAGGGCAGAGCCCGGGCTGGCTCCTCCGCGCGGCGCGGCGGGCTTTGCCACCCAACCTCTCCCAGCTCCGCATCCTCCTCCAGGCCCCGGGCTCTCACCCGCCCGAGCATCCTTCCCGGAGCCGGCCGGGCTGCCGGGAAGCCCGCGCTGCCGCCGGCCGCTCGCCCTCCCCCGGAGGCAGGCATTGTCTGGCGGCCGCGCGCTCCGCCGTCGCTCGCTTCTCGGGCAAAGTGCTCTCTCCCAGCTCCTCCCTTTGTATCATCTTATTGGCAGCAGAGATCCCCTCCACAACGATTTCCCCCCTCTTCTGGATACTGAGGAAAGCGAAGGACAGAATTTTCCACTCTCCCCACCAAACCTGCCTTCCTCCCCTCCCCCTCCCACATCAATGCAAACAGACTTACCAGTAATCGGGTCGGGATGCAACGGCCAAAAACGCCACCTGGAACCCGGAGATGCTACGGAGTGTTTCTTCCGCCTATTGTATCAGTGTATTTCCATGTCAGGAGGTGTTAGTATTGCTGTCTAGTAGGCTCTGCCTAAAGAGAGGGAAGAGAGCTGGAGAGATGGGGAGAGTGAAATGATGGGAGAGGGAGAGGAGAGGGAGAGAGAGAGAGAGAGAGAGAGAGAGAGAGAGAGAGAGAGAGAGAGAGAGAGAGAGAGTTGTACAGATGGACCCGATGCAGTGACTGACTGGCACGCAGACACACACTTTTTGTTTGCTGCACATAATCTGCCCAATGACGCGTGACAGCCCACGTCCCCTCCCTTTAACTCTTTGCTGGGCTGGGCGCTCCCTCCGGCGCTGTCTGCCTGGAAGCGATCTCTAGGGCCTGCCCGCAGCCCTCGGGGCCGGAGCGCCTTCCCCAGGTGGCAGAGAGCGCCTCTCCAAGCACGGCTGGCCCGCCTCCTCCTAACGCATCGCCCCTCTGGGACTGGTAGGACGGGAAATCAGTTCAGGGGTCCGAAAGGGAAGTACCAACAGAACTGGAAAGGGCCTTTTCCCGTTTCCCTGGGCACTTGGAGAACCTCTGACAGAAAGATGGACCCTCGGCGCCGCACCGACCCGACCCGACCCGCGCGCATTTCCTGGGGTCTGAGTTCTGTACAGGGGAGGGGGGCTGCGGATGAGCCCAAGGGATTCTCTGGCCACTGAGCCGGCACTGGTTCGCGCAGCCAGTTGCCGGGGGCTGATAAACCAGCTCCAGCTCTCGCCAGGAGCGCTCACCCCACCAAGCTCTTCCTAGCAAGCATCGGAAAGGATGCGCTTTGGTGAGAATTTGGCCCACTCCCTCTGCTGAGCCGGAGACGGGGCAAGGCAGACAGCGTGGCGATGCTGCCAGACCTAAGGGGATTTACAGGGTTCGTCTGGTCCTGGGACACCAGTACCGGATGGGGGAAAGGGTGGGGGGAAGATGGGTGGGCCGAACCCAGGTTAGAGTCCTCACTGTTCCGCCCTCTGCCCCGAGCGTTCTGCATAGTCCCTGAGGGGGTCCCGCGTTGGGGTCGGCCGGCATTCTAAGACCTCCGGGTGTGTGTATGTGTGTGTGTGTGTGCGGGGGGGGGGGGGGGGGAGTCAAAGTAAAAATGATTACCCAGATGTGCGCCGGAGCGATGTTCCCGTCCAGCCGGTGGCGGAAGGTGGTGGCAGAGCGGGTGGAGTGGCCGCGGCCGTCTGGGGAGCTGGTTTGTGCGCTAAGCCACTTAGAGGCGCTGGATGGCCCCCTTAGGGCTGCAGCTGATGCTGATGACTTGAGGTCTTTAACAGCCTGAAAGTTGACTCCTTCCACAGGGGCCCCCACGCATTTTCGCTGGGGATTCTGGGGTTCTTTCTCGCAGTTCAACTCTCTGCTCCTAAGGGAAGAAAGGCCTTTGAGTGGTATGGAGCGCCCCACTCCCTCAGCACCTCCCTCTTCCCCAGCACCATTACATTGGAGGGGGCAATCCGTGAGCTTTAGATAAATCGGCTGTGTAGCCGGCTAAAGTGGGCAAAGCAGAACCGCGACTTGAGGAGAGGAAACAGCCTGGGTTTTATCCAGTGTTGGAACAAGGTGGTGGATGGGGGGTTGGCGAAGAGCCGCTTTAAAGGAAAAGGTGCGCGCGGTGTTAGTTTGATTCTCTCTCGCAGTTCTGGGACCTCCCCCGAACCCAGTGAGGCAGCGAGGCCCTGAACGCCTCTCCTCCCCTCTCCTCCGGGCGCCTGCGGTCCAAGGAGGCCAGGAAAGGATTTTGCTGAGAAGAAGAAAAGAATGTGCGAGGAATTTCCCAGCAAGTGAGTTCTTTTCTCCTCGGTCTTTCTCTCTGTGTTCCCTTCTCTTCTCACCGGCCCCCGGCCAGTCCCCACATAACTTCCCAGTCCTCCTCATCAGAAAGCTGTCGCGTAGGATTAAGCTGGGGTTCAGGGTTGGGAAATCCCCATATATTTGGGGGTGATGGGGGGAATTCTCCCTTAATTTCGGATTTAGCCACTGATTTTTTCAAAGAAAGCTTCTCAAACTGCTGTCGTGTTTTAACTTATCATTTCTCTTTCTGCATGTGTGCACACTTTTAAGTAGTTTGGCTAAGGGCAACTCATGTATGACCAAGGCTCCACGCTGAGGGTTCTCACAGGTCCATGTATGAGAATCACTGTATTTAGCCATCAATTGTCTTATGACTGGATGCTCCATTAATCTCTCTCTCTCTCTCTCTCTCTCTCTCTCTCTCTCTCTCTCTCTCTCTCTCCCCCCCCCATCACTTGTTTAAAGAACGGGTGGGGATTAGAAATGTCAAAAGAACTGCCTTAAACACCTAAAAAAACAACCCACAACATGAAAAACTTGTCCCCAGACACTTATGTGAAATCAGAGGAGACTAAAAGGATAAAGAGAGACACCAGTGCAAACAAGAGCAAATTAAGATGAAGAAGTAGCCACAAGGGAGTTGTGGTCCCTTAGAAACTATAGTCAGATAAGAGAAGGAAGGTGTGTGAGTGGTTTGGGAACAGAGTCCTCAAACCTAATTCCATTAAACTGTTGAGCAGAACATTCCTTAGGCCCTTCTTTCGCTGTTATTTAGAGAACAGGAAGTTTGCCTTTCCCAAGAAAAAGCATCTGCCCATGCAAGCCATTAAAAAAAAAAATCTATTACATGTTCTAAATATAAAAGCATCTATTCCAGGATGTGGACATTCTGGAAAACCTTAAGCTCTAAATGGAAGGCATTTTTCTTTTGCCTGGCCTTTCTTTTCTTAAATAAAAAGGACATATCTTAGACTATGTCTCCTTTGAGGTACTAAAACCTAGATTCCAGTTGGTATAAAATAATGTTTCTGTTACTTAAGTTGGGGGTAAGGGATCTTGACCTTCCAAATCTCAAGCAGAAAATAGCTAAGATTTATCAAGGAGGGGAGAGATGTATTGAGAATCTGGCCATCAGATGACATTTCCTCTCTCAGTTTCATCTTTCTGCCCCCTAATTAGATTTATCCTATTGATTTCAGAAAAAAAAAATCCCCAAAGAAAAGAATTTCTGACATTTTGTAAATCCAACCAATGCTTTGTCTTATGTATTAAATGACTGACATAACAAAAAAGCAAATATGGGTAGGAGGAAGCTAGAAATTCCTATTTTGAAGGTTTTCCAGTATTTTAAGTGGTACATATTTGCTTGGTAATATAAATGGTCCACATGACCATCATTGAAAGGAGGTAAAGAAAATCTATAAGTTATGTTTATTTCTCTGGAAATGCATGGGTGAAAATGGTGCATAAACTACTTTGAAATCACTCTACATTATTACTCCCTGGAATTCACTGACACTAAATGAAGGCTTGAGGCATTTATTCAGCCTTAAAGAGTGCTGTAAAGCTGAAACCGGTTTGGCTCAGTGGATAGAGCATCGGCCTGCGGACTGAAGGGTCCCAGGTTCGATTCCGGTCAAGGGCATGTACCTGGGTTGCGGGCACATCCCCAGTAGGAGATGTGCAGGAGGCAGCTGATCGATGTTTCTCTCTCATTGATGTTTCTAACTCTCTATCCCTCTCCCTTCCTCTCTGTAAAAAAAACCAATAAAATATATTTTTTTAAAAAAAAAGAGTGCTGTAAAGTGCACCTTGGTCAATAGTTTTATCTAATTCACATGAAACAATGAGTTTATGCATATTTTTGGAGCTCTTTGCTCTGGATTTTATTTCCAATTAAATAATTAGAGGGATGACAATGAAGCGTGAGGACGTGTTCACCTAGCTCCACTTCAGCAAGGCCCCAGCACTTATGGTAAAGATACATGTGTAGACAACTGCAGGATTGTTTGGGAAGAGGAGGCTGGAGAGAGGCCAGTGAATGAATGATTCCTGAAGCGAAGCCTTGTCCAACCCAAGTGAGAGGATGGAGAAAGTGTAAGAAAGGAAATCTGATTCTTAAAGAGTATTACAATGTACATGTTCTCTCCCTCCCCAGGGTAGAGAAATGGGGCCCCAAATATCTCCACTTCTGTGATAGGAGGCAGGTAAAATCTCTAAGGATAACTCACTTAGAAGGGTTGTTACCCTATAAGAATGAAAATACATTGTTTTTCTTTATCCTTCTCTAGGTCCAAGTTCACCTCCCACTAAAATTCTATTTCCAAAGTTCTACACCAGCAAAGGTTAGTTGTCAAAAAATGTATAGCAATTCATGGTGAAGGAAAAACATACTGGAAGACAAGAGGGATGCCAAGAAAGCAGACAATGGAAACTTCTTCCTAAGCTTATTATTTTCCCACAGAAAGATCTCTGGAAGGGGCTGTGAGAGTTGGGGGAGGCAGGAAAAGGAACTTCATAGCCTCACAATGGGGAATATGGAAGTTTCTAAGGAATCACTTAGAGGCAAGAAGAGGAAGACTTGCTAAGCTGGATGGGGACACTGGGGTGTGTGTGTGTGTGTGTGTTTAATTTTTTAAACTATACATGGCAATCTCAGTTTGGGTCTATTCCTTACACTAAGTATTACAGTTGGTTCAACAGGTGAGAAATCATTAAATGTTTCCCAGGCTGGTCCTGGGAGAGCAAAAAACATAAGGGAAAGATGCATAATTTTGTAACCTGTGAAGATGGCTTCCAATTCCTGACTCACATTTTTCTCTCTTCAGCATTTCCTCTTTCTCAATAAATGATAGCTGTTTTTAATGCTGCTGCTGCTACTACTACTTCCACAGCTACTGCTGTCCTTTCTCAAATTTAAAACCAAGGTATCTCATGTTCCACTTGCCATTCTGTTGGAGTTCAGCAGTAAGCTGGATAAGCTTTGAGGACTTTGTGTAATTAATTCATTTCCTCTCCTAGATCTGTGTTGTAGTCAGCTGGCTTAATGGCTTCTGAGTATGACTTCCAGCAGGGCTAGCAACTGAGGTGATAAAGGCACCACCACAGATCTGAAATCAATGCCTCATGGTTACCTGTGTGTGAACTGTGACTCAGATCCAATACTCAGCATCCTGACCACCTGGATTCCCCAAGCTTTTCTGTGCCTTCCCAAATGAATATCTACAGAGCTGACAAAGAATATCCTAGTTTCCTGTAAAATCTGCAGGTTACAAAGGTTTTTGAGAGTCAGACGCTGCAATCTTGCCCATACCTCATTAGTAGGAGGAAGGTTGGAGGAAGAAAATGTAGGCAGGGCCACAGTCAGCCACACTGGACCTCCTTATCCTCTGGGCCAGGCTTTCCAGGCACATCAAGGGGTGTCCAGCCATCTCAAATGGGAGGGAGCATCAGATTTTGAGAAGATTGACTCTAGACCTTAGGAATGTCACCAAGTTGAGAAGTTCTGCATAGGATTTCTTTGCACAACCAGGAAAAGGGACATTATCCCAATACTCAGTATTTGAGTTCCACCTCATTTCCTCTCTATTTTAGGCTATGTGTAATTCCTGAGTTACAAAGAGAGATGCTTATTGACATGCAGTGGGTACATACTGAGCATATTCCCTGGCACCTGATCCCAGCTAGCCCTCTGACTGTGGACGTAGACTGTAAATTGGACTATTGGGGGAAGAGTAGCTCAAACCATTTCTCTCCTAGGAAGAGGGTCTAGGCAGAGCACAACATGCCCAGGACATTCAAGCTTGGAATCTGTCCATGCAAAATTCCCTGAAGCCTGAGGAGAGACAGACATCTGATTTTCTCCATGGAAAATGAGAAGCAAAAAAGAAAAAGAATGAAAAGGATTTGGGGGAGTAGATATCAATTAGTAACCACAGCAGTGATGATTCACATTGCTTTGTTAGAGTCTTAGAAATATAATTTATTTCTTCACAATCTATGTTCTCATACCTGAAGTGCTCTCCTACTCAATTGCAAATTGGAATCTTTCATTATTTCAATTCAAATGAATTGCAGATGTTTCCTTATTCAATCCGGAAGTATTATTTTAGCATTGATGGAAGACTGTCTCCCCAAACACTGTACAGAAAGCCAATAGCCTTTAACAGATTTTCATAAGCAATTAAAAACTACCAAGTTTTACATTAAGTCTTTCTTCAATTCCAATAATTGGAGAAATGGTCTCAAAGAATTCCAAGATCGACTTGTCATAAACAATAGTAACAGCATGACTACTATAAACACTATTGTACCTGTATTTTATTTATTGTATTAAATGTAGTGGTGTGACATTGGTTCATAGGGTCATATGGGTTTCAAGTGTACATTTCTATGATACATGATCCGTATGTTGCATTGTGTGTCTATCACCCAAAGTCAAATCCTCTTTTATCACCACATATTTGGCTCTCTTTACCCTTTACCCTCACCTACCCTGCATATATATATATATATATATATATATATATATATATATGATTTTTTACAGAGAGGAAGGGAGAAGGATAGAGTGTTAGAAACATCGATGAGAGAGAAACATTGATCAGCTGCCTCCTGCACACCTCCTACTGGGGATGTGCCCGCAACTAAGGTACATGCTCTTGACCGGAATGGAACCTGGGACCTTTCAGTCTGCAGGCTGATGCTCTATCCACTGAGCCAAACCAATTAGAGCTGCACCTATATATATTTTAAGCTATGCTCTATTTTTTATTAAAATTTTTATTGACTTTTTTTATAGAGAAAAGGAAGGGAGACTGAGAGAGAGAGAAACATTGATGTGAGAGTGAAACATGGCTCAGTGGTCTCCTGCATGCCCCCTACTGGGGATCAAGCACATAACCTAGGCTTGTGCCCTGAAGGGGAATCAAATTGGCAACCTCTCTGTGAACAGGATGATGCCCAGCCAACTGCACTACACCGGTCAGGGCCCTTACTTATGTTTTAATGTGGCAGAAATAATAGGCAGAGGAATTGATACATATTTGTTCTTTTGAACTTGCGGATTGAGAAGCCAATTCCCAGATGGATTTGGTAGTCATCTGGTAATGTAATATAAAGGTAACCAAGATATTCATAATCTCCTTTAAATTTTAGGGAAAACCCATATTTTAAGAATAAATATCCAGAATTGTCAAATAAATCTTTCACAAATTCATAATAAGAATAAACTTATTAAATATAAAGACCTGCATGTTGAGTTTTTTTGAAGGCCTAGAATTCAATTTAGGTCTGAACAAGTTTATAGCTGATTAGACAATGTTGTGTGCGTGTGTGTGTGTGTGTGTGTGTGTTTGTGGTGTGTTTAAGCAGGTTTGGGGTGAATATTTTTGAGGGTAGCAATTAAAAAAAACTTTCTGGACTGTGTCATTTTTCTTGACTGCATGCCCATAAAGTAGTCAGTGCTCCTTTTTGCATTGTTTTTGGTAAGATGGTTTTGATAAAATAGTTTGTGTGAAGTCATAGGAGAGCAATTGGTCCTGGAGAAGCAAAACTGAGTAGAGTTCTATGGAATATTTTTTAAAGGTTTTTTATTGGTTTTACAGAGAGAGAGAAAGAGAGAGAGAGAGAGAGAGAGAGAGAGAGAGAGAGAGAGAGAGAGAAGCATCGATATGAGAGGGAAGCATGGATGGATGCCTCCTGCATGCCCTCTACCAAGGATCAAACCACAACCCAGGCATGTGTCCTGACTGTGAATCGAACCTGCAACTTTTTGGTTGTTGACACAGGACAATGCCCAACCAGCTGAGCCACACTGACCAGAGCTAGTGATGTGGTCAGACCCCTCATAGCATAATCTACATTCTAGAATCAGTTTACCTTAGTTAGACCCCAGGAAGTGAATGTTTCCAGACAAGCGGGGATCCTCTGAGCTTGTGGAGATGTCTTGAGGGAGGCAATGCACTGAGACAGGGCAGCAGGTTCCATTTCTTCCCTGGGGGGCTGAATTAGGTGCTCTGTCCCCCAAGCCACCCACAGCTGCATTTGGATTCAGCATTTGGGTGGCGAGGCAAGGCAAGGAGGTACCTGCTAGACCCAGACAATTCCTGTCTGAATTCGGTGGTGTTCATAGCTCAGGAAAGGGCACCACCAAAGAGTGAAGTATGCAGACAAGGTCAAATGACAGAGATGGGCTTCCACATAGGCTAATAAGGTGTCTGGTATAGACCCAGGGAAGGCACTACCCCACCGCATCAGGAAGACACAGACACTGCTCAGACTATGTTTGGGATGACTCACCAAGAGTGCAGAGCCCTGGCAGGGGACTGAGCAGAACAAGACAAGCCATCTTCAGCTGGGCGTAGCTCTTTTAGAAGCAGCACGTGCAAACCATCACCGCGGGGCAGAAAGAGACCACCCAGTAGTGTGCTCCGGGCACTGCAGGACCCTCCAAGGACCAAGCAGCGACCAAGCACACTTACGGGCCAGCCATGTTCTCCAGCCCCGTTTCTCCTCCCTGGAATTAATGCCAATACTTGCCTCCTGCTAGGCGACCCCTTTCCCCTAGGAAAGGCGACTTGAGGTGGCGTGGCTGGGCTTCCAGGAACAGCTATGTTCCTTTTCACCAACCCTACCCCTCACCCCCACTGCATGTCCCCACCGCCTTTCACAGGGTGCTGGGCTACTTTCCCATCACTTACTGTGTGAGCAGACAGCGCCCTCCCCAGCCTTGGTTTTCCTCCTCGGGCACACAGGGCTGGCAGGCGCTGCCTCCCTGTCTCCATGGACGCAGTGCGGGCCCAGGGCAAGCGCACTGTAGAGAGCCAGTTGCTGAGCAGATGGTAAGGGCCTGCTTCCAAGAGCGGGGGCTGCTTTCATTTCAGCCTTGGACATCCCCGGGAGGTCTCTGCTGCCTTCGCTAGGAAACATCCTCCTTGGTGAGAAGTCTGGAGAACTGACCCAAAAGGATCAACCGCTCAGGCTCAGGCCACAGCACCCATCAGGAGAAGGAGAGGGCCAGGGCTCGAATCCTGGCTGGGGAGGCCGGGCAGGTGATGTAACCTGTCTGTGCCCCTGGCCTTCCTCTGTGAACTGACGGCGACGCAGGAAACCCTCTCCGGAGGCTTTTGCGACGGCTGAGGGGAGAGTCAGCGAGCGCAGAGAGCAGCTTCCCGAGCCCTGATCTCAGTGCTGGCCACGGTGGCTGTGAACTGTCACAGCACCTTCTCGGCGTCTCCATTACAGAAGGCGGGGACTGGATTGTGCGCCCGCTTTCAAGGCCGCACAGTGGAGGCTGCAGATGTCTCCCTGGCTCCACGGAGCTCCGGGAGATGCAGGAGGACAGAGCAGCCAGGAGGAATCCGCGCCCGGGCTCAAAAGTCCTTTACCGCGAAGGGCGGCCCGACGGTTCCCACCGCAGCCACAGTCCCGCCTCCCGCTTACGGGGGAGCCAGCAGTTTCCGGCCTGGGACTGTGCATTGGCTTCTAGCCCCGGGCTGTCCCCCAGGCCTCTCTCCGGGTTGGCCAGGGCGGGGGCGTCTCCACGTGGTGGGGGAGCCCAGGAGCAGTGAGCGCAGCGCTGGTGAACTCCAGTGCCCAGGCCAGAGAGCCGAGGCCTGGGGGGCTGAGAAACCTGGGGGACCCTGAGCCCGCTCCGTCCTGGCTGGGGCCTCCACGTGGCGGGCCAGGGCTCAGAGGCAGGGTGGGCAGCCTCCCCTCCCCCCACCACACACACACACACACACACACACACACACACACACACACACACGTCTAGGAAGTGCAGCCACGTGGTTGGCATAGGGCTTCCAGCAGGGCGGGCTCCACCTTGGCAACCCGCAGCCCCGCACCCCCTCGCCCCCGCATGGGCTGTGTGCAAAGCATTGTGGGCAGAGCCGCTTCCCTGGCCTCTAGTCACTTTGGCGCAGACACGGCCCAGCCCTGAGCGGACCCCGCAGTCTCAGGCTCGGTGACCCTCCCGCCCTGCAGGAGCCTCCTGGCAGAGGTCAGCTGTGCGCTCCTCAGTGAGCTTCCTTCGAAGGATCCCAGAGGCAGTGGTGAAGAACTCGAAATTTGGGGTCTGAAACACGTTTGAACCCAGGTCTGCAATCTACTAGCTGTGTGTCTTTGCGCAAATCACCAAATGTCTCTGGATTTTTAGTATCCTCATTTGTAAAACAGCAAAAACATCGATCTCACAGGGTGGCTGTGATTACACCAAAGGGCAAGCCTGGGTCCGGATCTCGGCTGGACTGCTTGCTTGGGTTAGTTAGCAACTCCGTGCTTCTGCTTCCTGTGAAGGGAGTGAACCTGTGAACTAGGGATAATGACACTTACCACAAAAGGTCATAAGAGTTGAATACGGTAAGCATGGCAGTGCATTCAGCCTGGCACATAGTCAGAGCCCGCTTTGCTAATTATTTAAAGCATCTCAGTGCCTGCCACTTTGACATGCCGGGTAAATGTAATTTTTAAATCTTACCTCTCCTGCGCCACCTTTTCTCTTCTTCAGACAGAAACAAAGTGCAAAGATGCATGTCGGTGTGTGTGCACTCCGAACTGGGAAGAGTAGCTTGGGGCAGAAAGTGAGGCGCCAAGTCTGGAAGTTTCATGCCTCGCCTGGCCTTTCCTCTTCCATTGCTAGAGACAAGGCAAAAGAAGAGGACGGCAGAGCAAAGGAGCTTAGAATATGGCAGAAGAAAATGTTTCTTCTGTCAGGAGTGGCATTTATCTATTAAGGAGACAAGAAGCAGAATGGAAGGCCCGGCATTGGACTGGCTTCCATTTCCGTGTTTGGCTGCCAGTTGGCATGCTGGGAGCATTTCTGTGTCTGTGTCATGGCCCCTGGGAGGGAAAGATCTCAGAGAAGAGAGGAAGAGAGGGTGGCATTGCTTTAGGGAAACAGGTTTGGGGACAGGAGGTGCAATGGGTGCCTTCCCTTGCATATGGAGAAGAGATATATCCCTGCAACAGAGAACATACTTGATTCAAGAAGTAAAACTCAGGCCCAGCTGTGTTGGCTCAGTGGACTGAGCATTGTCCCATGGACCAGGAGGTCCCAGATTCAATTCCCAGTCAGGGTACATGCCCTGATTGCGGGCTTGATCCCCAGTGGGGGGCATGCGGGAGGCAGCCAATCAATGATTCTCATCATTGATGTTTCTCTCTCTCTCTCTCCCTTCCTCTTTGAAATCAATAAAAAATAATTTTTAAAAAAGAAGTAAAACTCAGGCAAGAGCAAGAAAAGATATAGGGGTGAATTAGGCCTCCAGTGGAAGGTTGGAATCTGTATATTCCTCAAAACATGAAAATTCAATTTGGAGTCCAAACGTACATCCACAGACACCCCTTAACCATCCTTACAGCTCAGCCCTTTCAGAGTAGGCCCCATATCTACACCACCATGTGCCTCATCACTGCCCCACTCCTTCAGCACCAGTGTCTGCCTCTGACTTACAACTTCCTTTTGTTCTCTGTAGATAATAGGATAATGGCAGGTGATGTTTTATTCAGCAACTAACTGGACATCCAGGAAGACATGGCCCCAAACAGTGTTCAAGACCTTACCCTTCTGCTCCCCCCAACCCCAGGGCAGAGAATGCTGATGCAGCAACAACAATCTAAAGCAGCAATTCCCAACATTTTTCATCTGATGGCATACATCAACTACTTACTAAAATTCTGCAATACACACACACACACACACACACACACACAAAGGCTGTTAAATCGTGTTGTTTACCCATATCTTCAGAAAAAAAAATCACTTCTACTGTCATAAACAACCTGCTTCTCTGGCCCTCTAGCAACTTCAGCGTGACATAGCTAATTTGCCTACAAATGTCAGGTGGTCATAATAATCTGGCATATATATATATCCAATCTGACCAAAACATAAGCATGATTTTGATTCATTCACACCAGACAGCTATTGTTGTGTTGGCTGTTGTCATTTTTTTTTTAAATTTGACAATCTAAGGGAAAAGAGGTCAGCGCCCCTGACTAAATAGTCAGGTTTTGCATGTTTTAAAAGTCTTGCCACACATCAGTGTGCCTCTTGTAGCATACAGGTTGAAAATTGCTGATCTAAGGTATTTCATAAACTTCAGGCTTTTAATCTCCTCTTCTCTCAGACCTGGACTAAAAAGTGTTGTTAACAGAAAGGAGGATGAAATAAAACAAGACCAACCCCTCAATGTTTTGAGCCCTGGGCAAAGGAGAAAGCCAGCGAGAAAGAGCCACAACTTGGAAAAGGCTTCTCTTTCCTGCCATAAATCTCCTCCCCTGGTTCCTCTGCCCAACGGAGCACGATAAAGTCCTTTTCCATAAAGTATTCAGTGTGAGAGCCACAAAGCTCCCCCTATCAGCAGCCATCTGCTTCTCCCATAACTGCTGCTCGGAGCAGGGAAAGCAGCGGTGGAGAAAGGGCCGCTGCGAGACTGCTGGACAAATGAGGGGCTGAATAGCTTTGGTTTTCCCTGTGTATCTGTATCTATAGAGACAGGCGAAGAAAGGCCGCATTATAGTGATACAACAATTGTAAAACAAAACACGGAAGAGGCATCTAAAGGGCAATATCGCATGCATCAGGGGTCTCCAGATAAAAGGAGAGCTAACAGATTTATAGAGACCTTTAATTGGTTTTCAATTGAAAGCTAAAGAGGCTGGGGCAAACTGTGAAGAGTGGCCAAGTGCTCTCCCTCGGCTGTCTGGGAGGCCTGAACAATTTCACGGGAATAGAGCGGTTGTGGGGAAGGGAGGGAGGGGGGAGAAAAGAAGAATCCAGAACCCACTAGCACCTTTGTGAGGGTAGGGAGCAACTCCGTGTCCCTAGCTTTCTCCTCTTTGACCAGGAGATTTGATAGTCATAACAGAGTCTCTCATTTTCTTTCTTCCTCTTCCTCTCCCTACCTCCCACCCTCCTTCATACTGGTAGGCAAGTGGAAAGGTTGCAAAGAAAATAAGTAACCCTAACTTCCCATCCCCGGAAGAAAAAGCCCCTGGCCTAAACACATAGGGTTTTAAACCTCTTCACCCGAGAGAAGGGAGGCCTATTTGAAAGAAGCCCTACCCCAGACCCTCCTCCCCTCTTTTCTAGACTCACACAGGAAAAGCTAAAACCCACAGGAGGCTCTCCACTTAGCAAGGGAGGAGTCCTGGCTTTCGCCCCCGGGTTTGTTCAGGAGCGGATCTCTCCACTTAGCGGGCGCCGTGCGCCTTTTAGCCCCTCAGTGCGCTGCAGGCTGCGCCCCCAGCAGCCTCCGGGCACTGCCCACCCACACAGCAGCCCCGGACACCCGTCCGCCAGTTCCGAAGCCTAATTTATTGGCCCGACCTTTCATTATCTTGTTCGATTTCCTAATTAATCAAAGATAAAAGGCAATGGTGCAAATGATGATTATGAGAAAACTGGAGGCCGGCTTTGAATAAAATGGGAGAATGGAAATATGATGGGACATGACAGTGAAATCTCAAGCATGATGAGCAGACCTCAGGGGGTCAAACCCTGACCCCCTCCCTGTTGCGGGCGGGCCGCTCCTCCTGCTCTAGCGTTGTCCCAAGGGGCCAGCCTCCAAGTTAGGCCTTTGGTGGAGAGAGACCTGGGCTTCCTTCCTCTAGGACCCCCAACCTTACTAGGCACCTGCCCCCCACCCGCCCAACGCACACCCCGCCGCGCCTGCGGAATTGCAGGACTCCTGGCCAGTGATTCCACCCGCTTCCGGAGCGCCTTTGGATGGAAGTGCACCCATTACTGCGCTAACACGCGCAAGTCCCTGTCTTTGGACACTCCGCTAGCGAGGCCAACGCCTCGTGAAACTGCAAGAAAAGAGCCTAGTAGGTCAGAGCCTGCATTTGCTCGTGCGAGGGATTAGCAGAGCCCCTGTCTGGTGCTGCTTTCCAGAATTACGCCCGGGATTAAAAGGCAGACACGGCACGGGCGCACTTTTTACATTCACTGGTGGCTGTGATTAATGTTTTCCGAGGGGATTTGTGCCGGGAGCTTACGAGACATACTCCCGGGGTCTAATGCCCAAACGGCTGCAGGCAGAGGGTCTGTGGGCACGTGCGCCGATCACGGAGGGATTAGGAGGTGTCAGATGGGCCAGGCGCAGTGGCCTTTCAGCGCCTTCCCCCCTGTACCCCACGCCAGCACAGCTGCTCCGGAGAACCGCAGTAAGGACTGCCCCAGGGGCGGGCTTTGGTTTTTAGGGGCAGGTGTAAGGGGAGGATGCCCTCCGCTGTCCTTACTTTTGAGTGGGAGAAAGGGGCTCAGTAGGAAGCCACGGAGCTTCAGGCGCCCACCCAGAAAGGGGAGAACCGAGTTCTGCGTTCAGGAGGATCGCGGCTCCCAAACGTACCGCTCACCCCCAAATCAAAGCGCCTCCTGCCCCGGCCAGGAGGAGAAGGACCGCGTGCCCGTGAGCCTGCCATTCTCCGGGCTGCTTTCGCGGGCACTCGGGGAGGCGCCCGTGAAGAGGCCAGAGCCCGGGCACCCAATACATTCCCCTTCCCGCCACGCCCAGCGCGCCGACCAGCCAGCGGGGGAAGGGACGGGAGCTGGAGAAGAAAGTTTCAGGATGCAAGGAGGAGGCGAGAAAAGGAAAGCAAGCAAGAGAAAAAAATAATAAAATAAAAAGAAGCAGATGGGAAGTGAGAAAGGAGAGGGTAGCGAGAAGAACTGGAAAAGGTGGTGTCGGTGCTGGTGGGCATTGCCGCTCTCCGGCAGTAGGGGGCAGCTTTCAGGCCGAGACCGCCTTCCCATGGGCGGGGGCGGGATGCCCTCGCGGAGCCCGCCCTGCTGCCCGCTCCGGGGTGTAGGGCGCCCCCTCCTGGAGGCCGCGCAGCGGTTCCCAAGGGTGCTCGAGTCCAGTGGAGGCCCAGCGCCCGGCGAGGAGGCGTGGTGCTGGTGCGGAAAGAAAGGGCGGGGGTCCGAGTGGGGTGTGAGGGTGGCAGGGCGCAGTCACACTGTCCCCTCCCTGCGAGCTCCTCCGCGGCCTTCTCACCTGGTGCCTGCGGCTCCTGCCCGGCGACCGCAGCTTCGGCGCGCCCCCCGGGGCCCAGCTCCCGCCCCAGCCGAGGTTTGCAGAGGAGCGCGCCCTCCTCGCCCCGCGCGGGTCTCGCCGCAGCAGCTGGGAGGGAGGGAGCGACCGCCGGCTGCTGCGGGCGGCGTCTGGGGGCCGCGAGCCGAGCTGGAGGAGCCGCCATCTGGAGCCTCGGCGACGGGCGGGGGAGCGGGTGCCGGGGAAGGGGCCTGGCGGCTGGGCCCGGGGCGCGCGGAGGGCAGGGGCTGAGCTTGCGAGCAGCGCCTGGCGGGCCCCGGTGCCGGAGTGTGCGTGCGGGAGGGTGTGTGCGAGGGGGCGTGTGGCCCCTGGGGAGGAGCAGAGGCCTCCCCTTCGGAAGTCCCCAGATTTCCGGGGAGTCCTGATTGGCAGGTCTAGGGAAAGAGCCTGGTGCCAGCTTTGGAGCCTGCCCCCACCCCCCACGGCCCCTCCAGAAGTGGAGAGCTGGGAGGGTGGGAACCCCGACGCGCGCACGCACCCACGGTCGGTCAAAAGTGGTTTTCTCATTTCCCTCTCCTCCCACCTAGTCCGTCCCACTGCAGGAAACACGCCTCTCCAAAGGCATGGGTTTTCGGACACCTCCACACTAAGACAACGACTTCAACTAGATCGCGGGCGGGACAGGCGCTGGCAGGACAGCCCCTTGGGGAAAATACTTCTAGTTTCCGACGGACAGTGGAAGAGGAAGTAGCCGGGCGGAGGGAAACTCATCCTTGCACATGTAGCACTCGCGGCCCCCAGACGCCGCCCGCAGCAGCCGGCGGTCGCTCCCTCCCTCCCAGCTGCTGCGGCGAGACCCGCGCGGGGCGAGGAGGGCGCGCTTCTCTGCAAGGTGTGGTTTCTTCACGCCCCTCCTTTCATTTCAGATTCTTCAAATGTTTTCCTCTCTTTAACTTTAAGAAAAGCATTCCCTTTCCTTGAGTTTGGTTGGAGGCGGGGAATACTCTCAAGGAAGGAAAAAGGTGACGAGTGTAGGGAGAGCTAAGGGAGATGTCCTCAGCCAAGGTTTTAGATGCATGCTAGGGGAGCTGATTGGGTGTATGGGGTGGTGGCGGGAGGTCTGAATTAAAAAAGAAGAGAAAGCCAGGCCCACTCCCACCCTGAGGCATTAAAAGACACCCCCCACCCCCCCACTCCACTCCACTCAGCTGTCTCGCGTCCGGCAGAATGGCATTATGTAAAAGATCTGGCATGTCACCCAGTGGCACATCTGGTAGGTGTAGATGGCATTCATTAGCACAGGGCTTCTATTCTGCAGCATGCCAAAGCCCTGACAGAGATGCCCGCTGCCAATCATTCATTCGCTGCCAATCCCAGAGCGCGGCAGAGCGGGATGGCTCCCTTCCACCCTGGCACAAGGACTGGAGGAAACAATGTGTTGAGATTCGAAAAGATGAAAGTGGAGCTGAGGATGTGAGGCACCCAGCAGATGTATCCCGTGAGGAGATAACGGTGCGAATAGTCATTTAGCAAGAAAGCATATGCAGGATCTCAGGAGGAAGGCTGGGGCGGGGGTCTGTTTGCCTAGGACTGAGCTAAAGGAGAGGCAGGGGAACCCCTTCGGAAACCTTAAAGTTGAAGTTGCTACTCTAAAAACACACAAAAACCTAAGCTCCCTAACTCTAAGACACCCCCCATGTGTACTTCCTATCTCTAGCTCTGAAAAGGCGAGCTGCTCTGCCCTCCCCAGGATTTGTGATTACCAATATAAAGAGCACCTTCCTGTTTTTAATGTTGCACCAATCTCTTCACCCTGTAATTTGAGGAGGGAGGGAAGCTGGCAGACTTTACTGCATTTTAAGAGGTAAAGGGCATTGGGACTAAGGTGTTGCATATATTAACAACACGAATGAAAAAAAAGGTAAAATTCTAATTTCAATCCCTATCCTTACAAAGGGGATTAAGATGAACAGAGGAAAGCAAGGGAATTATTAAAATGGCAAAGGATGGATAAACATGAAATCTAGAACAGAGGTTGTCTCTGGCATTCTTTTTCTTAGGCTGGGCCATGGTTACCTAGGTGGTCACTGTATTGTTGTTTTGTTTTTTATGCCATGCAGATATTTTAGAAATATTCTTTTTGTCCCTTCAATATTGGATAAAACAATTAACAAAACTCAGAGGTCTAAGGGTTTGCAGGGTCACTGTTTGCATCTAACAGTTCTTTATTGAATATATTCATACAAATACATTATGTATAAAACGTTTTAGAATAGGTATATAGTTTTGTGAAAGATTTGGGACATACATATATCAGCTCATTGTTACAAGATGACTATTATAATTCCATGCATCATACCATTGTTCTAATCATGAAGAAAGGGATGGGGCAAAGAAAAGTCGTTCTTTCATTTTATCAGTGCAGTAAATACTTTTCATTAGCCAGACTGGTCCCTAGGCCATTGGCAACTGCAAAAGAGTCTGGGAGAAGCAGTTATTAAAGTGTAAAAAGATAGGATAAAGAATTGGAAATGCTGGTTGAGTTGCAACCAAGGGTGTCTGCTAAAAAAATGAAGACAATGTTAGCATCAGGCAAGAGCAGATTATCAAGTTTTATCATTGTTTTAAATGAAATCTTTTATTTTCACTATAGTCATTAAACTTTATCAGTTAGAGATACTCTACTTGAATTTAGCAATTCCTTTGTGAATTTCAACAAATTCTATTTTAAAATAAGGTGTTACACTTAATATGCTTATAAGACAGCTGACATAAAATCTGATTTATATTTGAATAAAATTAGACTTTGGAAGGAGAACCTGTTTACAAATTTAAATAAAACAAGGAAAATGGCTTTTGTTAGAAGGACAGAGTTTTAATCCCAACTTTGTGACTCACTAGATGATGTGTGACTTGGGGTATGTTACTTGTCTAAGTCATATTTGTTCATCCGTAAGTCCTATGTAATAAAAGCCTCATATGCTAAGTGGCCGGTCGTCTGGTTGTCTGTTCAACCAATCAAAGCGTAATATGCTAATGATATGCTAAGGCTGCTCAACCGCTTGCTATGATGTGCACTGACCACCAGGAGGCAGACACTCTGACTGGTAGGTTAGCTTGCTGCTGGGTTCTGGCCAATCAGGACTGACACACCTGGAGCCCTCCTGCGGTCCCTCTCCAGCCCCGATCCTGAACTGGTGGAGTCCCACAGCCTGGCCTGCACCCTCTTGCAATTGGGACCCCTCAGGGGATGTCAGATAGCTGGTTTCAGTCCAATCCCGCAGGCCAGGCTGAGGGACCCCACTGGTGCATGAATTTGTGCACCAGGCCTCTAGAGGTTTAATAATGTTAATGATTCCTTGCAGGGTTATGATGAGGTTTAGAAATCATGACACACATGGGTTTTAAATGTAATTATTAGGAACCAAGCAGGAAACAATTCAGTCTAAATGGATCAGATGAAGAAACTACTTAAAAAGATGTGGGCAACGGTTATGGGAACAAGTGAGATGATGAAGCACACCGAAACAGCATAGCAAGGAGTTCTTAGGAGAGGAATTCATGTTTCAGGATAGGTTCCTTGGAGGAGGGGCCCAATGAGAGTCATAGGAACACAGCTACTGCCAGAGAGTCAGTAGTATAGTAAGGAGGGAGCAGTGGAGGAACACCCCAATCTTTATCTTCTCACACACTTCAACTTCATGTTGATATCTTACCTTGGCCAAAATCAGCTGGAAAGTAGTCAGCAAGGTGTTGGAGCATGGCAATAAATCTGCATGGGTCAGTTTCAGAGGACAAAGAGCCAAGCATAGAAAGATGGGTGACAAATGGAGGATATCACATAACTATTATTCACAAATAAGATTCTCAGAAAACCCTTTCTGCAAACATCTTTTCGAGGCACAATTCCAACTGGAAGTAAAAAGTTAACAGGTAGGAGAGGGCCAAGATGGTAGCGTAGGTAAATGCAGTATTCACCTCCTTCCACAACCACATCAAAATTACAACTAAACCACAGAACAACCATCATTCAGAACTTCCTGAAACCTGGCTGAATGGAAGCTCTGCAACTAGAGAATTAAAGAAGAAGCCACATTGAAACTGGTGGGAGGGGTGGTGGTACAGTATGGGCTAGTTTGATACCCACATGTGGCATTTAACAGGGAGAGATACCTTGTCTTGAAAGACCCTCCCCTCCTCCATGAGTAGCAAGAGATCCCAGCCCCACACCAGACCCCTCAGCCTAGGGTACCAGTGTGGGGATTGTGGCTGAGTGACACAGAGGCTGCTGGAGTCCCAGGCAGTTAATGTTAAAAGGGCCCATGCACAGACTTACTTGGACTCACTTCCTCTGAGCTCTAGCACTGGGGCAGCAGCTTAAAAGGCTCCACGGACAAAAGGGGAGGAAAGAAACTGTCTGGCATCAGAGCAAGAACTAGGGGGCAGCTTTCTTCCAGACAAAAGTACTGGCAGAGGTCATTGTTCCTTTGCCTAGACCTCCCCTCCACAGTGCCTACAGGTAGTCACCACATCTGAGTCTCCATCAGCCTGGTTCACACTGTTCACCCCACCCTGGTGACTTCCTGAGACCCAGCCCCACCCAATTTGCAACTGCATCCAAACTGTTTGCAGGGGATTTTCCATATGAATGGTCTGTCCTAGCTCAGGCTACAGCCTTTCTTAAAATATCTCAATCAAGCAGCAGCTGGCTTTGGTGTGACCCATCTCTTATAAGTGGCCTAAGGCCTGGCACTAGGAGCAGCCTGCCCTGGTTCACTTGTTGGCCTCTCTTGGGCACCTCCAAGACCAACACAAATAGCAGCCATCTTGCAGATCACTCTGTAGCTTGTGCTGGGTGGCCCTAGACAGGGCATAGGAAGCGGCTGACTTTGTACCTGCCAGGAGGCCCCAGAACCAGGTCACACAGTGGTCAACTTCTGACTATGCAGGATTACAATTCTACCACATCCACAAGCAACACATTCAAGGGGCAGATTCAGTGAACACCAAAGCCCCACTGAAGCAAATCCTGCTTCGTAGGGGCATCTCCTGCACAACAGCTCTTCTGCTGCAGTGGAAGCTGGTCCTCAGAGCCAATCGGCCTGGGGGTTAATTCCTCCCAGTGACATCAACATCAATCCAGGCTCAACTCCAGCAGGACAGTGAACACAGCCCACACAGAGGTGCACCTAGAGTGCCAAGTTCAGGTGACTGGGGAGGCTAAGCCACTAGGACCTACAGCACACCTACTATTCAAGGCCACTCTACCAATTCCAGGAGACACAGCAGTTCTACATAATACATAGAAACAAACACAGTAAAGCAGCCAAAATGCAGAGACAAAGAAACAAGTCACATATGCAAGAACAGAAGGAGTCTCCAGAAAAAGAACTAAGTGAAATGAATGCAAGCAAACTACCAGATACAGAGTTCAAAAACAATGATTATAAGGATGCT